AACAATACAATTTCATTTATAATTTAACATTTTGTGGCGGTCTTTAGAAGCAACAAAAGAGGCAGCAAGAGAGAGACCTTTGGGTTGGCGCAGAAGAGGACATCTTTAATTGAGCGACTGAAGCCCCCCGCTAGACGGGTGCTCATATTTTATAGAGAATCAAAAACTCCATTTGCTGGAGTTTTCCATCACTGAGCCAAGGGGTAGGAATTAATAGAAATTAATTAATGCAACTTTTTAGGGGGCAAAGAACTTTTTCCGTATGAAAAAGAGGTGCGCGACTCCTCCGCTCTGCTCCGCTCCGCTCATAACATTCATCGTATAATTTCTTTCAGTGCAGTTGCAGCCAGGCAATCCTTTCAACCAGAATTGTGATGCGCTTCAATTACTCCAGCAGTCAATGCCACTCATACACACAGAACACAAGCTGCTGCTGCTGCCACACAACAGAAAATGAAGAGGCAAGAGGCAGGCACATTGAACGCTGGAGTGGCACAGGCGACAGAGAGAGGGAGAGCGAGAGAGAGAGAGAAAGAGCCTTGTGTACTTATTTTTAAACGTATTAAGGAAGCGACGGCACTAAGGAGACGACAAGGAGCTTCCTCTCGCCGCCGCCCCCTCTCCAGCTCTTCCACTCTCTGCAGCGTCTGGGGCCATTGAATAAATGATGCACCTGCAACGCAAAAGGGTTGCAGCGGGCAGATGGGGGTAATGGAGAGGAGACGCAAATGATACCCGACATTGAGTTGCCATATCCGTCTTTCGCATGCCACATTGCCTGCCGCATGCCACATGGCTTTAAATACATCACACTGGCAGGGGGAGAAAATCTGTTCACTTATAGTAATCGATGTTCAAACAAATTCATGCCGATCACATATCAATAGACACCGATAATAAATCTAAATATTCGAATTAATGTAAATTAATTAAATTAAATAATGTAAGCGATTATTTATGTACACAAGCATGTACCTACACATATAAACATGTATGTTTGTACATATGAATAAAAAAATAAGCCAGTCAAGTCAGGCACATAGAGATATCCTGCACCCCTTTAAGCCCCCACGCATCACTTCTACACAGACAGAGAAGCAGAAGAAGAAGTTCCACTCCTCCTTCTCCTCCTCTTCCACCAGAAATGAGACTTTGTTATCCAAATATTTTCTTTCTTTACGAAAACCCAAAAAATAAAAAAAAAGGAATGAGAATCCCAAGAGATCGACGGGGGGGTGTGTAGGCAGGGCTAAGGCTAAGGAGCAGGCGATTTAAGTTTGAGCTCACCCCCCTCCAGCCGACAAACGCAAGTCAAAGAGATCGGACATTGGGCCACTGGACATCTCTCTGCCCCCCTCCTTGTTGCAAAATGAAACCCTTCCACTCCTGGCAACACGGGGTAAAGTTTTCATTCCGCTTAACAGATTTCGCCTAGCATTAGAGTCTGCTACTGCCACTGCCACAGTCATCCCTTTTTCTTTGGCAAAAGTTTAGCTGCCCCTCCAGTTCCTGCATCGCCTTTTGCTCCCCTTTTTTGCCTTGTGGTTGCTGTTGCTGCTGCTGCTTGCTGCTGCATTCCCTCCTGCCTGTCGAATCCTTAGCTAGACGCAAATTTATGACTGTCAAAAAAACGAAGGGGCACGGGGCACGGAGCACAAGTAGAAAACTTGAACTTAAAAAAAAAAGTGTTAAGAGTCACCAGCGTCCACGGTTGCAGCATCCTTCTGTAGCGTTTTTCACCATTTCCCAAAAACAGAAATTTTAAGCTTTGACACTTTTCCCTCCCTCCACCTACACCTCCTCCTCCTCCTCTGCCACACACAAAAAAATGTTGCATAATTTATGGACAACTTCCCCCCCAACCCCTGCCGCGTGCCACAAAAAAAACTGAGTTACAACAGTCGCAAAAGAACTCGGGGCGGGGCATCTAATAAACCTTCAGCCCCGTGAATTGTGGAGTGTGGAGTGTTCCCTACGGATGCCTAAAGGATGCCCACTGCAAGGCAGATAACTTCTTGATTTTTGGGTTCCCTTTTTCAGTTCCCTTTCCAGTTCTGTCTGCGTGTGGAATTTCCCTAAGCCATTCGCCATTCGTTGGTTTTCCAGCAAAGAAAACTCCGCCATTAAGTACTTTAATCCTGCAGCTCCTGTAAATTTGAGGCGTGCGAAAAGCCGCTTTAGCTAACTCGATTCCAGTGTTGCCCGTTTCCCCCATCAGATCCATCAATTAACTCGAGACGACTCCCAGTCCAGACACCCACGAAAGCCACAGAAGAGGACAGAGACAACAACAGCTGTCGATTCCTCTCAACATACAAAAACACAACAGCCCAAAAGGACCAAGAGACACACAAACAGACGGACGGACGGACAGAGGGACAGAGGGAAGGCTCGTCAACGCATTGAAATCAAAGCCACAAAACCCATCAAGACAATTTTTAATGACGCCACGAACAGACGGAACCCACAGAGCTATCATCCATCCGAATCCTCATTCCTCCAATCCCTTAATCCTCAATCCTCGTCCTGTCTGCGGTTCCATCATTGTGGCAGTTGACAGTGGAACAGGAGGCAGGAGGCATGTCCCCTGTCGAATGAATACCAGTTTGTACCTCGGAAACATTTTTGAAAATGAAACAAATGCAAATTGTTGTCATTCAACGATGTCGCCGCACAAGAGAGACATGCCCCCCACACCCCAACCAACCCATCACCTCCCGCGTAGTGTGGCTCTGCCATTAATCCAGGAAACAAGAACAGGAGGAGGCGAACCAGGAACAGGAGCAGGAGCAGAGGCAGCCATAAACCAGCAATGTGTATAAAGGATACCCTGCAATTATTGACGTTAAATGGTCTTTGATTTTGTTGCTTCTTTTTTGGTAGATTAATGGAGCGTTTTCTTTATCAAAAGCTCCATTAAAAATGGGAATTGTATTTAAACCAGTTTAAGCTAATAAAACTAAACCGATTTGCATGATTTTCGGCCTTAAGGCATACAGAATCGTGTGAACTATATATCCATCAAATATCTTTCAGGCTAAGATTATAAAACATTTCAAACTTCTCACCGATTTTCAACAGTTTCTCCATTTGGGTACAGCATTTCTTCAGCTATAATACCACAAAATATCAGCTTTATATCATCGCAAAATGCAGCCTCCATAACTTTTCAGCAATTTATTGCTTTGGATGATTTTTGGAACTTAGTTACCGAATTTTCCCATCTCTCACTCCATTAAATAACAGCCTGCAATTGTCTGTGCAATGGCAGACAGTAAAACTCTGGGAATTATCCCTCCTTGAACCCTCGTGTGCGGGGGTACTCTAATACCCTCTAATTCTGTGGCTATGATTGCGGGGGGGAATACAGCAACAGCAACGACAACGAGGACGCATGATTTTTGCGGTGTTTTGTGTGTATATTAATGCGGCTGCGAAAGTAGCTTTTAATTAGCATGTTGTCTGCGGCCGCAATTACCCTCCAGTGTACCACCAACCCCCCACCCCCCACCACCCCACCACACATTCCAATGGAATATATCCTGCACCCCGACTGCCTGCTGCTACTGTCAGAGGCTTATCTTCTCCATGTTTTTGGGGGTTTTTCAATGGCTTTTTGGTTGACTGCTGCTGCTGCTGCTGTTGCTGCCACTCAGGTGGCATGCAACACACACACACTCGGGCGTGTATACGGGAGAATAGTTTCGAGGGTTTCGTCCCCTGATTAGCTCTCAATGGGGGCAGGATGGAAGGGGCAGGCAGGCAGCCAGAACTGGCTTAAAGTGGCTTAGGGGCCCCCAGGAGCCTCCCCAGAGAGTGGCTGCAAATAGGCTGAGATACAGATACACAGATACACATTCACCCACTGGAGCAGAGCTTCAAACTTTTGAGAGCAGGGCTTAAGCGATTGGCTTCGTTAGCGATTGAATGGTTGAGTGATTGAATGATTGAGCAGCCAGAAAGGAAAGTGTGGCAAAAATTAGGGGAAACATTTAAGGGAAATTCAAGGCAGTACAGCCACTCGGGCGGTAATGAATTTCCTTCAAAAGATCTTTGGAATTTCTAAATTATATTCATGACTATTTGTAATATTTCTTGATTATTAATATTAGGCTATAATTAATGTTAATATTTTATAATTATATTATATCTTTAATTATTATTTTTTTTTTTTCATTTTTCCTTTTATATTCATATAGATTTTCCTTGCAGCATTGTCACGCAGCATGCAGCAGTGCACCTCTACTTTGTGCAAACTTATTTCCCTTAAGGCCCCTGGGTTCTGGCTGACTTTAAGAAGGCGACAAAAATGCTAAATATGTGCATATATTCATATATGTACATATGTTTACATATGTATAACTGTGGCACTCCCTTGCTGTCGCCTTTGCCTGCCGCCAATTGGATTCTTATTCCATGCCAATTAGACGGCACGCAGGCGCATGACACAAACTACTCATAGATGAGTAGGGGGAGTAGGAGGAGGGAGTAGGGCGGGCGAGGTTGCAGGTTGCAAGCGTACTAGTACTACGATTATTAGTGGCATAAAGTGTTGACTGCTTGTGGGGCTGTTGTTTTTTCTGCTGCTGCTGCACACTCGCACGATATTTTCCTTCATTATTATTTCTTGGCACGCGATCTGACAAGTTAGACGACTTTTTTTTTTTTAGCCGGGGTTTCTAGTTGTTTGGACTTTGGAGCTGTCGCCCATTGCGCCCATCGCCTTGAGCTGTCGTGTGTTTTTTTCCCTTTTTTTTCTGTTGCTCTCCCTCTCTGATTTACATCGAATCGAATGTTGTTGCTGCTGCTGCTGTTGTTGTTGTTGTGGGTCTGCCTTTTGTGTTTTGTGTTTGTGTGTTTTTTTTTCTTGGGAGAGTGAGCTTTCCACTTACTCGAAAGCCCCTTCGCCTGCCCCTCCTACTTATCCACTGCTGATGATGATGATGATGTCGTCTGATGTATATATATAGATTTAGAAATTATAGTAGTTGATGGCTTACTTGCAATTAGTTTGTGTACGACACGAATCTTGGTTGTTCCTCTGTTGTAGATGTAGATGTCGCTGCTTCGATAGTGGCGTCGCTTATTTAGGGTCGCGATTCGTTCGTAAGAAAGCCACCCAACGATCTGCAAAAAATAAAAAAAATAATTATTATGGTGTATTAAGATACGTTTATATTTAATTATCGATACCATCAAAAAAAAGCAACCCCAAAAAGGAATCAGAGAAAAAATAAACACCTGCATTTATTAAGAAATTCCTCAACTTTGGGTGGTTAAGTGGGTGGTTTGGTGTGGTGTGGGGGCTGCCTGGTGGGGGCCTTGGCTTATCGTAAAACATTGTCGTAGAACGTGATGTCCGTGGCTCTCTAATCGCCAGACGACGCAATGGGCTTGGGCTGTGGATGGATGGGCCCAAAAGATAAGCGATAAAATGCGTGTTTTTCGCCGCTAAGTAAATGTTCTTATCTTCTGCGGATTTTTCCATTTAAAAAATATTAGAAAGAAACAGTCAGCCAGCCAGCCAGCTAGCCAGCCAGACAGCCAGCCATGCAGATGGAAGAGATCTCTACTTATTGGCCAGAAAGATGGATCCAAATATGTTTATTGCAGGAAATATCTGCTCGCAGTTTAATCCGCATGGCCTTGGGCTTTCTACGAGAGTTGCCACCCAAAATTCTTATCATTCTGCGTGTGGAATCTTATCTCAGGGGGGGGAAGTGAAGTTGCAAACAGAAGCAAAATGCGGCCCAAACGCAAACAAAATTTAAGCAAAAAAAAGATGAGATGAGACGAGAAGAAAGGTTGGCGGCATGGAGCCCCAGACATTACATTTTCTGCTCCAAATACGCTTTTCACAATTTTCACACAGAGATGGAGATGGCGATGCCGAGATGGGAGAGACTTTTCTTTTTTTTTTTTTGTTTTGTTTTACTTTTTTTTCTATATGTGTGTGCGCAATGCTTGTTAGCAGAGCGTGCATCCCATATAAGTATATACAAATATATCTATATATCTGTGCATGTGGATATATATATATGCATGGGGTCTGGCTATCTGGCAGGCAGTCAGTCAGTGGAGCCACTGGGCCTCCACTCCACTCCACACATTTCGCATTCGTGTGTTGTTTATTGTGTTTTCAAAAAAGTGAAAATTGCATTTTCATTTTCTCGCTGTTTTCCTTTCTATTTTTTTTTTTTGTTTTTGTTTTTTGTTTTTTTTGCTTTTGTTATGTTTCTAATGCAGCTGCAAAAATTAATTCCCAAATTCGGAGGAGAGCTGTGCAGTGCAGTGGGTGATATTTTTAGACGCTTTCTATTGGCTTTTAATAATGAAATGGTGCAGCAGGAACGATGTTATGGAACAATCAATGCACACAAAAGAAAGACTGGCATTAGATGCATTCTATTCTCATCTAAACCATCATTCCCTGCATCATTAATTAATGCATTAATTCAATTTCGTTCCGATTCCACATGCTGGTTGCCATTCAATTCCAGCATTCCTAGAGATGGTTCATTCATTTCACTATTAAAACTTTTTTTCAAATGTTTTTCACTCTTTGGAAGCATCATTCCGCATCGGTATTCAACTTTTCCATTGTTCCATTTCATTCCAATGCGTGTAATTGAATTCCACTGTAATTTTTTTTTCCCCTTTAGATCATTCCATCATTACGCATCATAATGCCGCACTTATTCTCCATTCCATCATCCCACATACCCCACATGTCCCACATATTCCACATTCTATTTCATTTTCATTCCATTTCATTCAATTGCCTTTCATTAGCATTATCCCTGCCTCGAATCATTTTTATATGTAGATATATCTATATGATCCCCATATCATGATGCCCACCATCTACCCCTTTCCCTACTTTACCACCAATCCCACCATTTTTCCCTCTTGTTGCGTGGAAGTTCGCATTGAAAAATGGAAAGTTTTTGCGTTAATTTTAAATGATTATTAACACGATAATCAGCGGACGGGACGGACGGGACGACGGGACGGGCTTCTCGTTCGTTTATCGTTTTGTCGATTGCTGTTTTTGTGGCTTATTTTTTTTTCGGTTTCGGGGGAAAATCTATTTCCCTCCCGTGTTCATTCAGCCGATTATTTTTTGGTTTAGCAGGGCGGTGGCAGCAAAGGGGGGAAAACTCTGTTGAAAGCGATGACATCTAATTAATTTTCAATGCCCTGTGATGCCTGCCGCCTGCCTCTGTCGCTCTCTGTGCTGCCTGCCTGTGCCTTCCCATTGGTGCTGCTTGCTGCTGCCACATGTGTGGGTTCGACATTTGCTGCAGTTTTAATTAAGTGTTTAATTAATGATGAGGCATTCAACATTCAACAGAATGGTGCACTTGCGATAGCGATATACGGGGGCGGGGCGGAGATATAGCAATTGAAACTGCAATTTCCATTGAATGGCACCGGCACAAGGGGGGGACTGGCAGGGGTGAATGCAGTATTTTGGTATTCTCTTAATTGAAGTGGGGAGTCAATCATTCCCAGAGATACGAGTGCGAGTGCGAGTATATTCTATAAAATGCAGTTCATTGGCCACAAAAGCCACACCACAAAAATCACTAAAAATGTAGAAATAAAAACCCCCGCGAATCAGTTCTAAAATATTTCCAAAAATCATGATTCTAGTTTGGAATGCATTTGGAATTCATTCACTCACTGAAATTCATTCAATTCTTTCCTCCTCATTTGTCCTTCCGTCCCTTGTTCTTGTTTCATGTAAAACATTATCGTTATACCTCCCTCCCTCCCCACCATCTCGTTTGGTCTCCTGCTATCCTGCCCCTCGGCGGTGCATGAATCCCCCCCGAATATTCTGAAACTCAATAAAAAAAAATATAACAACAAATTGACTCCCTGATGTGATTCCTTGCCTTCCCTTCGCGTTCGACAATCCTTCCGACTCTTTACTTATGCAATTACAGGCACATACATACATGTCTTCCCCCCCCCCTTGCACATATCCCCCCCTCACTGTCATAAGTCCAGTCCCCGTCCCCGTTCCCGTCCCATCGCGTTCTCAGAGGAGCAAGAAACAGAAAACGCAATCGGAGGCTGTTTATCTTTTGAGTCCTTCCGTTCCGCCTTCCGTTCCGGAGAGGTCTCCAAGGGATAACGGGTGGAGGCAGGCCCGGGGGTGAAGAAAAGGTCGTGTGGCCTTGCCCTAGGACCCAAGGACCCTTTTCTCCTCCCCACACATGTGTGTATGTGTGTGCTTTTTCAAGCATTTTTCATTTACATTTTCAATAATAAATCCTTGGCCTTGACTTTGGCCCCACGGGGTGATTGGGCAAAAAGGGGGGAAGAATGAGTGCGCCAGAGAGGGATGGGGGAAGGCTGTGAGGGTGTGAGAGGGGTAGGGGTTGGGGTGTCTCATTGCCAAAACATTTATTTATTATGGCCCTTCGTAATCGTTTAAGGACGCAGGAGGGCAAAGGAGCAGTGAAAACAAGGGGGGGGGAAACAGAACGGAAAGAAAAGATGGCCAAAAAAAAAGGGAAATTATTCAATGGTTCCAATGGGGGATTCATGGCTCGCTGATAGATACGATCGGAAAGGCGGGAAAGCGTGTGTCCATGCAAATAAAACAAAAGGGAAATCGAAATATTTATGGCCCAGCGACACCTTTGGGATACCCTTCCTTCCTTCCTTTCTTCCTTCCTTCCTTGGGATATATGTATGTACATATGTTAATAAGTGTAAACTTCTCAGCATGAAATGCATATAAATATATGCAATAAATGGTTTTAAATTGTCGCCCCGAAATATTTGTGTTCCCCCCACATTTTCCACCTACCCAAATATATTCCTTCTTGGCCTCTTTCTGATACTTTTCTATCTTGTATCTTGTTGAAAGAGTATCTGCGATGGTAGGCTTAAAGTGCCAGAGGGCAGGGCAGCCTTTCCTGTTGTTCTTTTTCGATTCCATAAATTCTCTCTAAATTCGATTTATGGATCTATTCATGAATCTTTAAGCAGTCCTACCCCCCCATACCCGCTCTCTGTAATTATTGGGCTCTCAAATGTGGAGCAAAAATCTATGAGGCATGGGGGCATGGGGCATGGGGCGCAGGCTGTAGCTTCAGGTTTTTCCAGAATCCAAAGAACCCGCGAAACCAGTTCCAGAAACCAAGAAACCAAGTCCAAGAAAACGGAAACCAAACCAAACCCCCAACTGATGGATGGATGGATGGATGGATTGTGGCAGACAAAACACCTCGCCGCTTGCCTCTTTGAGGCACAAAACCGGTTCACTGTCGCCTGTGGGCTGGCTGCTCTCTGTGTGTGTGTGTGTGTGTGTGGGGGCGTGGCAGTGGGGCAGCACATAATAAATGAAAAAAATACAGAACAAAAAAAAAACAAACAAATCAAAAAAAAAAAAAGGAGCTGAATTTCCTTTTTGGCGATTTATCAAAGAGGCGACAAATCTGGAAAAGCCGAAGCCATATTCCCCACTCAATCGCAAAATCCCCAGTGGAATCCCCTGCACAGCTGACTCCTGGCGCAGCAGCAGCAACAGCAGCAACGGAAGGACAACAATCGGGTGACAAAAGTGTGTCCGAATGTCCAGCAAATGCAAAATTATTCATAAAATGTATCTGCCGTAGGAGCAGTACAGAAGGAGAAGGATAAGGAGTACGACAGATGAGGAGGAGCATGTCAGCAGCAGGGGCACGGCTGGGGGCAGGACTCTGGGAGGGGGGACACATGTTTTGTGGAAGGCAGCAAAACAAACATAAAACATACAACAAATTAATGTTGAAAGTGTGTCTGGCCTGGCCTGTCCTTCTGTGGGGCCAGCCAGCCTGGAGAGGAGTGAGCCCCAGAGTTGACCCCAAGAACCCCAATCCGCATCCGAGTCCAAAATCCGAAATCCCTCCACCATTTGACGCCTGACGCCTGCGGTTTGTGGCCCATGCCCCATTGACCCTCGCACTCTCTCTCACTCCTCCCTTCTGTGTTGATAAGCCGCTTAACTGTTTGTTGCACCATAAATATGTTGGAATAGAGGTGAAAAGGGGGGGAGGAGGAAAAAACGAGCAAGAGAGAGGAAATGAAGAACATGAAGCGATAGGAAGCGTTGGCCAAGAGAGCAGTGA